CAAGGGTTAAGGTTTTATTTTGAAAGATTCAAATATATATATATATATATATATATATATATATGTAAAGTTTTAGTTTTTGAAAAGTTATACCATTGAAGGATTGTTTTTGTTCATAATCATTCTCTAATTAGAAAAAAAATGTAAACCTTGTGGAAGCTTTCATGATAGTTTGAACCCAAGGTCTTCTTCCTGTGAAGTAAGAGTACTTACATTGCATCTTTCCCCAATATAAAGACATTAAACAACATTAACTATGTTACATGACCTGAGTTTGACTTTTCATGAAAAATTGTTGAATTAGAAAAATCATCTTGTTAATGCTGTACACCAAGCATGATTGTAGTGACAGTGGAGAAGAAAACTCCCTTTTAACATGAAGAAACCTCCAGCAGAATCTGGCTCAGTGTGAGCGGCCATCTGCTGAGGCCAACTGGGGTTCAAGGAGACAGAAGCAGAGATACAAAAGCCAACATTCAGCTCCACTGTCTTCTCTGTCCAGGAAACACACAGTCGAGCAGACGAGCTCCCATGTCAGAGGATACAGTTAGTCACAGTCAGAGAAACAGGACTACACTGAAAAACAGGCTGAGCTACAAAATCTGATACTATCTACTTGATAATAATCTGAAAATATAAGCAGATAGTAGAGAAAACCGAATAAATCTGTATTGGGACAAAAAACTGCTTCTTTAAATCTGTGTAAAAGGCCTCATATGTTTCTTGTTTAGTAATGCATATATGCTCATGTCTGCATTTTCTCCTTTAAAGAGATCCAGTTATAGCAAAGGTTTGCAGCAAGATGACTATATAAGGCCAGCTGACTGACACTAACAGATCTACTGACTTTATAGAGTTCAACCAACTTCCCTAAAGCTTGACGCGTTTTAAACAGCATTGCACATATGTCAGTGACACATGCAGCCTGTTTATGCTTCACGTGTTAAAACGGTTCAGATTTAGAAGCGCAGCTTCCTTCCCCAAAAAGCTGAGAGCCTCACTGCCTGGCTGCTCACTTATTTCTCCATCAACCTCAGTCTGCTGGGCCATGCAAGCATACTCAGGAAGTGGTCTGTTTTTTTGTGTATACGTTCAAAGGTGCAGAAGACAGGTTCAAAAATCGGAAATACCCGCTTTGCAATCGGTACAATAAATGCAAAACTATATTTAGATGTGGAAGCAGCTGTTCAGCACCTCTGATGACACATATGGCAAAAAATTTAAATTAATTTTTGCAATACAGGTTTGGACTTAAGCATTTTTTGCAC